AGGGTAATGGTGTTGGATATAGGCGAAATTAAGTGGGTTTAATGAAAAACAAAGATGGCATGTTCTACGAAATGGTGGAATGGGCGGGGGTATCCTCAATTATTTTAGTTAATTTGTGGTGTATGGAAAAATACAAACTGCTACTATTTCACCCAGTTACCTATTTATTTATCTGTACAGAAAATTCCTTGACCATGAGAATTTTGTTCTTTTGGCAAATTAATGAGAAATTACATTATTCTAGTAATCACTAACCCTCGAACCTAATCTTTTGATNGACTGTGAACAGGAAGACGAGACGGTATTGCATGTACTATGTGAATGCACTGCCGTCTCGTCAACAAGAGAGTCCATGTTGGGAGAACGCTGGCCTTCAATGGCCTATATTAGAGAGATCCCCCTGAGCAACGTCACCACCTTTTTCACTGTAATAGGATGGTTGGCGGCTCAGGTGGATTGATCTCTCTAACCCTCCCCACAATTCCAGACTCCAGACTCCAGATGACAGGGTAATGGTGTTGGATATAGGTGAAATTAAGTGGGTTTAATGAAAAACAAAGATGGCATGTTCTACGAAATGGTGGAATGGGCGGGGGTATCCTCAATTATTTTAGTTAATTTGTGGTGTATGGAAAAATACAAACTGCTACTATTTCACCCAGTTACCTATTTATTTATCTGTACAGAAAATTCCTTGACCATGAGAATTTTGTTCTTTTGGCAAATTAATGAGAAATTACATTATTCTAGTAATCACTAACCCTCGAACCTAATCTTTTGATTTTATATTGCAATTTATTAGTATTTCTGATTCAGACAACTCGACAACCGTTATTCAGGCCATATTTTTTACAGACAACCCTATATTACCATCTTCGCAATTAAATAGCACTTATTTTGATATAAGCGTTATACAAATCAGTGTGGGGGATGCCTTCGTGAGAGGAATTGTTGCAAGGGGCTGTCCGCAGGGAGGTGTTCTATCACCACTGCTGTGGAACTTAGTTCTAGACAGTCTCNCCCTGAGCAACGTCACCACCTTTTTCACTGTAATAGGATGGTTGGCGGCTCAGGTGGATTGATCTCTCTAACCCTCCCCACAATTCCAGACTCCAGACTCCAGATGACAGGGTAATGGTGTTGGATATAGGTGAAATTAAGTGGGTTTAATGAAAAACAAAGATGGCATGTTCTACGAAATGGTGGAATGGGCGGGGGTATCCTCAATTATTTTAGTTAATTTGTGGTGTATGGAAAAATACAAACTGCTACTATTTCACCCAGTTGAGAATTTTGTTCTTTTGGCAAATTAATGAGAAATTACATTATTCTAGTAATCACTAACCCTTGAACCTAATCTCTTGATTTTATATTGCAATTTATTAGTATTTCTGATTCAGACAACTCGATAACAGTCATTCAGGCCATATTTTTTACAGACAACTCTATATTATCGTCTTCCCAATTAAATAGCACTTATTTTGATATAAGATTTATTTATTAAACAAATAGGTGAAAATAACTAGTATCGATTTACCTGCCAACCCAGTAATTACGCCAGGAAAAAAATAGACAACACAACGTTTGTATATTCTATAGGCATCATAGTTTCGGTTGGTATTAAATTTATTCGTTAAACTCATGAGTGCAATATTTAATAAAAAGTCATTTTTCAATTTTTAATTAATCATACTCTGGCCAGGAATATGACCTCTCGAGATATATTTTTTAATATATTAATTTGATATAAAATACTTTTCATCCATTAAACAGATGGATTAAGGTCGTTTCTAGTGCGAATCCTCTATTATATGTACCTATTCTTAAAATAGTTTATATTTGATAAGATAATTGTGACGTTCGAGTACACATACGAATGGAGCCAAAGTGCAACTATAAATTAATTTCTATTTTGCACGTTGATAAATATTTTGAATCAATTTAGGGTTGGTCTTTTAATTACTTGAAAATAATTCAGGGATAAATATATGACAGCGACGACAAATAAAAAAAAACGAGTTATGTGCTAACTTTGCTTTAGCTATTTACATGATTTTCCCATGAGTCGCCCTGCATATTAATTATTTTTCTGTATGAAAAAACTAGAAATTACATTTTTGTGGATTTTGAGTCTGATTCGAATGAAGAGATTTTTCTAAAGTATTTGATCGGCTTGATCACAATCTATTAACAGTGGAATTAGAGTCATGTCGCTCTGTTATTTGTTATTTACTCTTATTTCAGTAACAGATACAAAGTTGAGTGGCTTTCAATCAGAAAATCTTTATCAATTTTCAGGGGTTCCCCAAGGCCACTTTGTAATTTTTATTAATTCTCCAAGGAAAACATACATTACTTCAGATAACTCTTAAGTAAAGAGAAGTGGAATGCAGTATTTCAGACTGTAAATCATGTTGAAGTTCATGACAATTTCTTTGTAACATTTTTTAGTTATTTTGACATGGCCTTTCCGATAAAAAAGTTCAAACGTGGACAAACACGTAAAATAAATAATTGGATTACAAAAGATCTGATTGAGCAAGGCATATTTTAACGCCAATTTCAACAACATGGCGAAACAAGATATTGGTTTAATAAATCAATATAAAGCTATAAAACAATCTCATCAAAAAAATATATAATAAAGCGGAAAGAAATTATTATGATGATGCAAAGCAAATAAGAAATTTAGAGCCTCTTGGAATTTGGTTAGAATGAATACTAATATGTCTATTATTAAAAATCTTCCAGGCCAAATACAAGTACAAGGCGAAATAACTGACGACAGAAAACAAGTGGTCGACAGTTTTAATGAATTTTTTACAAATTCGATTCAATCTTTGGATTCCAAAACAACTATAAGTAAAAAATCGATATATCCTCTAACCCAAATTCATTTTTCTTATCCGATATATCAATTAATGAAGTGTATATGATAATCAAGCAAATTTCAGAGAAGAGATCATCTGGAATAGACGACGTTCCGAGTTCATTACTAAAAGAAGTTTCAGATCTCCTGTTAACCCCTCACTTATTTGTTAAATATTTAATTTGAAAACGGTTATTTCCCTTATCAATTAAAGTGTGCAATGATTGTGCCACTTCATAAAAGAGATGATGTTAGTAAAATAGAAAATTACCGACCCGTTGCATTGGTTTCGGCATTTTCAATAATTTATGAGAAAGATTACCTGCAGAGATTAAGTTCTTTTATTTTTAAATATAATCTTATATCTGAAAATCAATATGGGTTTGTTAAAGGTCGCTCGACCCAGGATGCACTAATGTCATTTTGTAGCAATATTATCGAGTCAATCAATGAAAACCAAAAAACCATCGGCATANAGATTACCTACAAAGATTAAGTTCTTTTATTTTTAAATATAATCTTATATCTGAAAATCAATATGGGTTTGTTAAAGGTCGCTCGACCCAGGATGCACTAATGTCATTTTGTAGCAATATTATTGAGTCAATTAATGAAAACCAAAAAACCATCGGCACATTTTACGATCTATCGATGTCATTAATCATACTCACTTACTCAATAAACTTGAGAAATATGGTATTCGTGGATTAGAAACCAAATTGTAAGGATTAAAGATGGGGGTGATGTTTATTTATAAAAAAGTTTCCTGTGGACACTGGGGTACCACAAGGGAGTGTATTAGCCCCAACTCTATTTATATTATTTATAAATGACCTTCCCTTAAGACTTGGGGTCACTTGTTTTAGTTCGTTATTTGCAGACGATACATCTTGTTTAATTAGCTCAAACGGAGAACGTGATTTATGTAAATTATCGGAGGAATGAATTGCTCAAATGGAGCACTGGTGTTGTCAAAATGGCCCAGTGCTGAATTTAACAAAAACAAGTTTTATAAAATTTTCATCTATAGGTACACGGGACTACTATAGCTTATTAATTAAGTCTTCAGCGGGAAGTTTATTGCAAAATGATGTTATTAAGTTTTTGGGAGTGCACCTTGATAATCACCTTTCATGGGAATTTCATAATAAATGGAATTTAGAAAAAACTGGCTACAAAAAATTATGTTATCTGGAGTATTAAAAAAAGCCTCAGTTTAGAAATTTTGAAACTGACTATTTACGATAATTTGGTCTGTCTTTACAATTGTCAACTGTCATTTAAACTTTTACAATCCTTTAAAAAACACAACAAGCAATACATAATTAATAAAATTTTACATCACCTGAACAAATTATGTTTAATAAGAAAAAAAACCGTGAATGATAGCTACTATTTAATTACGGTCGGTCTAAACAGAGCTCAAACTGCATAGTAAATATGCGCTACTCCCACTTCGTTCTTCACTACTGCTCGACGGTAGTCATGACCACCGCTATAACCACTTTACAGATGTAGCACCGAGTCCATATATTCAAAGTTTTTCAAACGAAATCGAGTTAAATTGACTGCACATTACAAATTTAACATTTCCTTTTTAATGTGTTTCATAAGGCTAATCTATTTAATTATCAAGACAATTTTATAAACTGAATTTTAAATAAATTTTTTTACTATGAAAATTTCTAAGTGGGGCACCTCCCCAGAGCCCTCCTGAAAATCCAGCTGCCACTGGTTCCACCTTCATACTATCACATGTTTATTTTATTAAATGTTTATTTTAGACCATGAAGGCAACTTTCTAACTTGACCTGAGGGTAAATTCTTAATAAAAAAATTATTTTGCGTTAAAACGTGACATTTAACTAGTCTCTTGGAAAGTATTGATTTTTAATGCGCAAATACTCAATGACATAAGAAAATTTAATTTTAATTTCTACCATTTAGGTACTATATTATGTAGCAGGACACGGTAACAAAATAATATTGTTAGATACACAAATTACAGACATACTTATCATTTCATTGATTTAGTGAGATATGGTGCAACGGTCTACCTTTTGGGGGATTCCCCTAAAGGTCGCAAGATACCTACGCGCCGATTTCATGAAATCTAGTGTTGTTTATAAATCGTCGTTGAACAAGTGCTTAGTTTATGAACGTGTGATATTGTTGTAAAAACATTACGAATTGTTTATTTATGCATATATGGTATGTATTTTGGAATATGATAATTAGAAAAAATAAGTAGGTATCTCCAAGTAAAAGCCATATATACACAATTAGCTGTTGAGGATGTCTAGTCAAATGACATTATCTGTTCAATAAACTGTATAATAAATTTCACATGTCAATAACAATTTCATATTGCAACAATAGGTATCATCTGAGGAAGAATATAGCAAATAAAATATTACTTACTTTTTTAATTAAATTGACCTTTTGTTTATGATGATATAAAAATAAATATTCATTAATTTAATTGACAAGTAATTTTAATGGTATGATAAAACCAGTTTCAAGTTCAACTAAGTTTAAATATTACAAAAGTGTTTATTATAATAAAATTTATTTAATTTTGTACTGTACATTTCAAATATAAGTACAATATCGATTTATACCTACCTAACTACATAGTTACGTGTTTTTTTTATTGTGATTTTATCGCAATTATCTGTTACAGATAAAATTATTTACAGACCCAAATTTAAATTTATTTTTCACTTTCGGGGATTTCTCAAAGCATTTCTCATTAATCAATGTCAGTATTATCCCATTGTCATATTATTACCTGTAAAAATGTAAAGTACCCATATAATATAATTTCTTAAATATTTGCAAAATAATTGTTTAATATTTATTACAACAAATTGTGGTTATTCTGCATTTCATAATTTACTTTTTTATTATCTTTTATTTAATTTCGTATTATACTGAAAAAAAATTAATTTATTTAAACAAAATAATTTATTTAAGAAAATGTAACAAATAAAAATACTGCAACACATTATAGTAAAATAACAAACGTAAGATATTCTGGTAATTCATTTATTTTTATTGTGGCACATAATACCAAATTGAGCAAAAAAATAAATAAACCATTATGGATACCACCTTAATCATTATATGTAATTTTAGGTCTGTCCTAATTTGCATACAGTGTAATATAAATAATGGAAGATACAAGAAAAAGAAAAAATGAGAGGCACCCTCGTGAAAATGCGAATATTTTCTCAAGTTTATTCTTCTGGTAAGATATATAATACATTAAAATATTTTTGAGAATTAAAAAAGAAATATCATTTCTCTATACTTTTGCCATACTTTTGTAACTTTCGATTTTCTTAATATTGTTTTCTGATTTGCAATATAAAAAAATAATTATTATGTGTTGTAATAAATCTTTATTTTATTTATAATTTATCCGCCATTTTGTAATTTTGATTCATATCTGATTTGTAATGAATAACTTCGAAAACATTAGCTAATACATTTTCAAGGCTCTTGGAATTTAGATTGGACTTTCACCATAAGTACACCATTTTGGAAGCTCCATTTTGTAATTTTGAATCGTTCGTATCAGTTTTGTGATGAGTAACCTAGAAAACACTAGGTAATACATTTTCGAAGCGATTGTCTAAGGTTCTACACTATTCAGATTGGATTCGCCATTTTGAAATTTGGTATGTCTCCATGACAAAATTGTCATCAAGAAGCCTTACTACAACTGTGTAGGTACTTATTTTCGACTGTCGTTATGTGTAGTTCTATCCAGATTATAAATTTTGACCGGACTTTCTCATTTTTAGAGTTTTCAGGCGCCATATTGACGCCGCCATGTTGCAGGATTAGATACAAAAAATATATCGTTTTGTAACCTGAGGGGTTATTTCTTTACTTATCTATCTACCGCCATGACCAGTATCATAACGGTGTTAACTGACAAAAGAGTTTACTATTAACTTCTTGAAAGGGAGTTTATAATTATTATTACACTTTAATTAATACGTGGGAACTTAGAAATGTTGTACATTCAGAGAATGAATACCAGACTCTTACCGTATGTCGCTCATGTACAAGGTAATCCAGTGGTTGGTTGTATAGGGTGACACTTAAGTTGGAAGAACAAGAAAGAAACACCAAAACTTCCAGGAAGGGTTTTAATAACAATAAAAACAAAACAAACAAACAAAATAACGACACAACGGGCTCGACTATTAATTAATTTATTGACACGCGACAGCGTACCGAGATTCTGGGAAGGCGCTATCCATATCAAAATTTGCAATGATTTTATCCATTATTAAATTAACCCGAGGCTCTAAAACTAAATAGACTGCTCAATATGGAACTCAAGGAAAAAACTGCCTTTTTTTCGAGATCTCTTCTGAATTCGACACCTTGCTTCGACACGCCCATTTCTTGGGTCCAGACGTTTCTGTTCTTATCTTACAGGCGGGAACCCTGTGTAACCTGAGGGGTTATTTAATTAATTATCTATTTCTTTATTAATTATTATCTACTTAATTCTCGAAAGGGAGTTTATTATCATTAGATATACTTTAATTAATACGTGGGAACTTAGAAATGTTGTATGTTCAGAGAATTACTTCCAAGCACTTACCATTCATCGCTTACGTGGAATGTAATCCAGTGGCTGGCTATACAGGGTGACACTAAAGTTGGAGAAACAAAAGGAAACACCAAAACTTCCAGGAAGGGTTTTAATAACATTAAACAAAACATACAAACAAAATAACAACAAACGACTCGAACAATATTATTATTGAATTGATTTAAACACGACAGTGTGCCGAGATTCAGGGAATGCGCGCTTCATACAAAATTTCGAAAAACTTTATCCATTATTAAATTTAATTAATTAGCCCGAGACTCTACAGTTAATAATTAGACTGCTCAATGTGAAACTCAAGGAAGAACTGCCTTTCTTGCAGATCCTTCTCGAATTCCACACTTCGCTTTGACACGCCCATTTCTTGGGTCCAGAAGTTTCTGTTCTTGTCTTATTGGCGAGAACCTGAATATCGGGACGCTGGTATAACTAACTATATTAGGTTAATAATTACCTAATTGACTTGACTTACATTTATATCAATAATTATGTGACTTACTAGTAACCCTAGCCTTCCTCTAATGACTCCGCGTAGCAATTACTTGACGGATTAGTCGATCTCATTTAATCTACTCTTATAGCTTGGAAAAATCCGTCAAAAAAACCAGCTGCTTAATCTGTGACTTTCTTGTCCAATTACTATCTATTTCACAATTTAATTTAATTCTGCTTGGAATCTCTACGCTCTTCTCGTGATTTCGCGCGTTATTAAAAATATGGGTTTTTACGCTGGCGTCTCCCAGACGCAACAGATGACTACCATATGGCCCCTGACTTTAAGCGAACTTGTTAAAAATATTGCTAAATTCCGTGAAGCCTTCCCCGAAGGACGGTCTTGGCGACCTACTACTTGAAAGCCATTAACCCTCCGATAAATTGTGATGACTGAAATATTCTAGTTGGCCCATCCGAGAACTAATAAATAAATGACTACGAGTCCCGGCTTTTGTTACACCTGAATATCGGGACGCTTTGGCATAACTATGCCATGTTAATCGTTATCTAATTGACTGATTTTTACAGTTGTCTAAATAATTTTGAGGCTAAACTTACAAACAACCCTATACCTTCTTCTTGTGACTCCGCATAGCAATACGGGACGGATTAGTCAATCTCATTTAATCTATCCTTATGACTTGGAAAATCCGCCAAAAAAACAGCTATTTGACCTATTATTATTTTCCTGAAACATTCTAACAACTTTAAATATCTTGGAATTCCTACGTGTTCTTTCGAATGCATTTCGCGCGTTATTAGAAATAACTATTTTTCTCTTTATACCAGATGCTCAACACATGGCCCCGACAGTCTAAGTGAACTTGTTTAAAAAATATTGTTAAATTTCATGGGGCCTTCTCCGAAGGGCGGCCTGTGGCGACGCTAAACCTTGAAGACTCTTAACTTTTCGATAAAATTAGTGTTGACTGAAATATTTTACTTTTTGGCCCATCCGTTCCGAGAACTAACAAATAAATTACTACGCGTTCCGGCTTTTGTTACAGTTTTATTTAAACAATTGATATCCATTGTCTGCTTATTAAGGTAGACGTTCAAAAAAATGATAGTGGATGTCAATTTGTAATCATTTTAATTCCATTAACGCTCACCTTTTGTTTTTGAAAATTGAGTTAAGCTTGCGGCGTTTTGCAAAGCACTCTATCTAATCTCCATGTTGCGTTGCAACACTTGAATAAGTCCCGATGTGTAGATGTCAGCATTGATAATGTATATTTATTTACAGTTGGACAATCCCAACATTTTTAAAGGGATATAAAAGAGACCTGGACGAAGATGATCTCTACGGATCTTTAAAAGATCACGATTCGCATAGGTTGGGAATTAAATTGGAAGACGCATGGGTACAAGAAAATAAAATAGATAAACCGTCTTTAACTAGAGCTATTTGGAGAGTTTTTGGAAAAGAAATTTGTTGTTATGGTATTGTATTGTTTACTATTGAGTTTGGAACCAAGTGAGTTAAATACTATGTAATTTATTTTTTATTAACATGAAGGCAATAGGCATGGGTACCTCTATTTAACACAGTCCATACGCATATGTGGCAAAGTAATCGATATTTTTCGCACCAAAAATTCACACGACACCCCGCAGCAGATTAAATTCTTTGAATTTTTTTAAATACTTTTCAGAAATACTACTTTTGCGGATTTCTGTAGAAAATAAGTATGTGATAAGTGCGTTTATTATAAAGCTAGAAAGATGTGAAATCATACTTTTTACACCCGAATTATCTCTCGATAGTACGTATGTAACGTAAACTTGACAACTCATAAAGCCTGAACCCATAACACCTTAACACATAAACTCTAAATCCATAAGCCCACAGCCTATAAGCCATGAACCCTAAATCATTGCCGATATGTCCTTAACCCATAAAACAAAAACTAATTAACTTTCACCCCTTAACCCATAAGCTCTAAATTCATATACGTTCGAAGTATGGTTTTAGTATTAAGAATTTTTTCATATTAATTTTTTTCTATATGGATTTGGAGCTCGTTTAGTGTCTATCGAATTAGGACTTTATGGGTTTGGCGTATGTATATAGGTTCATTGTTTATGGATTTGGATTGATGAGTTTTGAGAGTTTTGAACTGATGGACATAAAAGATATATGGTGGGTTTGTGGAAATATGGATTGAGAGTTTATGGGTTGAGGTTTTATGGATTCAAGGTTTATAGGTTGTCGGGTTTTAATTTAACGCCTATGGGTTCGAAATTAATATACGAAAATAGAATATTGGAACTACCGAGAGAATTCAAGTGGAAAAAGTGTGAATTATAATAATAATTTACCTATTATGTGTACATAAAAAGTATTTTATCCTCATTTTTTTTACATGAACCAATTACTGTCTTATTTTTAGACTGGCTCAACCATTGTTGTTGGCAAAATTAATGCAGTACTATGTTCCAAATCAAACAGTGTCCAAAAACGATGCCATCATGTACGGGTCTTTGATAATACTAGCTTCATTCATCAACGCACTTCTTGGTCACAACTATGCGATGGGGATTCAACATCTAGGAATGAAAATACGAGTGGCCTGTACTTCACTGATTTATAAGAAGTCTCTTAGGATAAGCAAATCTGCAACAGTTGCATTTAATACTGGGAAAATAATAAATATGCTGGCAAACGATCTTGGGAGATTCGATAACATCTTTTTGAGTTTTCACAACATTTGGGCAGCCCCGCTACAAATTTTTCTCGTAACGTTTTTATCATACTATTTGATGGGAGTATATGCTTTAGCTGGAATTATCTTTTTTGTATTATTCATTCCTGTTCAAAGTAAGTATTCGTGATATTGACTCCGCAGTTCTTATCTCCGAAATATAGACGACGGTAAAATTATAATACAATGTGATTAGTCATTGCTGTGATTAATTGTAATTGTAATTTCTATCATAAAGAATTTCTCAATATCCGTATATCATAGACTCCTGACACGAGATGGTTTCATTGCACCTCTAAGAAGATATCCTTGTTTTTATCGAAATAAAAGATGATTCAGGATTTATCCGAAAAAAGTATTAATGTATACAACGGCAAAATTATGGACCCCAATTTCTTACAGAAACAAGAAAAAATCTGTTAAAGCTAAATTATTATTGAAGGTCACCTAATTAAGGTCAGGTATCTCAGGTTGTTCGACTCGTAAAAAACCTATTTTGAATAAAATCAGTTATTTGTTTAAAGTAAGAAAAGTTTTGTAATTGTCTAAAAAAATTAAATACAACGATATAGGTTTTTCTTCATGGCTTAATCTTTCCATTTATTAAGGAAAACAAACCGGAGGTCGATATCTTTTTCGTTTTCAACCTATTGCTAAAATAGTGTGGTTGTGCTAGAACATCCTCATTTATTTAGTTCTTTAAATAAGAATGACATAGTCAAAGCCAAAATTAAATTGTAAAACTATACCAAACTTGTCCTTTAAAAGTACTTGCTTTATTTTGAAATTTTTTTAATATGTAAGTACAATTTTTCTTTTTTTTATTAATTCCAAATATCTGAGTATTTACAAAGATTATTTCCATAACCTAACCATGTCATATAATTATGTCAAATGAAATGTGACAGCTCTTGCCACGTGCAAAATTAGTGTTATTTGTGTTGGAAAAGTACTTGTGAACAAGGAAAAAGCATTTTACGCAAGCTTATGATATGTTGGCAGTTTATTTTCAATGTTTGGAAAATGCCGTTATAGCTTCAAGAAAATACGCTTTTTTATTCCCATATTATAAAAATATATTTTATTAATACTTCTTTAAAATGAGCCGTCGTTTCTAGAAATCGAGTAAGGCATTTAGAAGTTATGACAATTTAAAAATTTCAAGATAGCGTCTTTTATACTGACGTAGCTATGGTAATAACAAAAAAAAAAGTTCAAACAAAACTTATGCAGGGCTTAACAGTGTATCTAAAAGGTGTATTTTCAATTTAGGTTATATAAGCGAAATTTCGAAGAACGACAATTTTCTGTAACACTACAGCAGGTGCGCCCTCTAGCGGTGAAGTTACAAACTTCAAAATATTTTAAATCAATTTCTTTTGGCCTTCAGCCGCCCCGTACCGTTAATCACCTTGTATACAATAGGAATAGAAAACCTCGACAATCGCTAAAACAGTTCAATTACTTTACCGTAGAGAATGAATGGTGCAGATTATTTGCAGTTTCTGCACAATGGTTTTCTAGAAGGTATATCTCAAACTGGTGATGTGATTTATGCTCGGTGGCGCGCCTCTTCATTTTTTCCTCGATCAGGTGTGCAGTAGATTGGATGAGGTGAACCTGCAGCGTGTTCTGACCCCAATTATTATATCGACTTTTTATAAACCTATTTGAAACATGTTGTCAGACAGAGATAAACCTAGAGGATTAGCTTGATCATTACTGTCAACGTTTGCATTTAGGAGCAACAAGAAGGAGGATTCTTTATGTAGGAAACGAGTGGAAAAAGTTTTTATATTACACTGCAACTATTGTTATTGCTTTGGTGAGAAAAAGTTTGAATATTGTTTATCAACGAGTCTTTAATCGTCACAGTGACCGAGAGCTTTGTGCAGGCACGGCAATAAACTGAGTCATATCAGGACCTATGTTGGAGATAAAAAACAAACAGATAGGCAGAAGAGTGTTACGCAGTAGATTTACAAAAATGGTGAATGAATTGGAAGGTCTGTTGAATGTCGAGATATCTGACATTCTGACTAAATTTTGTGGGAATTATTGTTATTAAAGTAGGAATTGAAAATGCTAGACGGAGTAGTCTTTGAGCTCAATTAAAATTTGAACTTTATTGTGGAATTGTAAATCGAAACATCTATAAGGCAAGATTTGCGTGTTGTAGGTAAAATATGATAAGTTGTTTCAATGTTATGCAACTGTAAAAACGGATAGGTACGAATTATAAGTACAAGTTTTAAGGTGGCTTCAACTAAGGGAAAATTGACTATTGTCTTATTCAAGCAATAATTCCTGGTAGTAAGGCTAGCGGTTCAAAAGTATCCCGCCATGAGTGAGAATTACCAGAAAAATGTATACAGAAAGTGTCAAAACTTGCTGGAGAAGATCTACAAACTGAGGTTTACGTTCGAGAATCATTGAAGTTCATTTTAATGAATGCTACGTCACAACAAAGGGGACATTGCGACAATATACGAACAAATATAAACGCAATTAGGAGCCTTGGAGATGATACAAATTAAAGTGAAAAGAGGAAACTATTTTCTTTATAAAGTCTTGCTTATTTCAGTTATTGGGAACTTGGTAATAGTCTTAAGTCTCAACAATACCGCGAACGTATGTAATTAATGTGCAAATTGTAATTCAGTTCCAGAAACTTTTGTTATTTTAAAAACGAGAAGTTGAGAATGATAGAATATTGACCACAGAAGGCTCTGGATTCTCAAATCATTCGAGAAAGGAGTATCAACACAATATTTGATATATTTTGTAACAGTTTACATGGATGCAGTGTTCGTTTTAAGGTCAGAAAATAATTTTGGATCAGAAGAGGAATTTATGTTAATGAGAAAAGTTTGCTCCTGTTGCTGAAAAGTAGATCACTATATGAAGAAATGTAAGTGGGACTGACTTATTCCACAGATACAATAACAAGGTTGAAAAGGTGGATATAAGTGTGAAGCGCGTTCTACAAGAAATCTTTAATTAAAATAACCTGCCTGTATGTATTCGTGAAGAATAGCAAGAAATGTAATAATTATCGAGAATGAGAATTATAAACATATTGACTGACACGTCGCAAGTGTGATAGAGGTTTTTCCCGGTAAAGAGCATGTTCGACCGGTGAAAGTACAGACAATCAGAGAACTGATACGTTCTATCCAGCGTTTGTATTGCAAGGAGTATTGCAACACTAGTACACTACTCCTTAAAAAGATATCCAGGATCATAAGAGTGTTAAGGATGGAAACTGATGCATTTCTGGTTGCCTAAATTATACCGAAAAATGGTAGAAAACAGCCCTTTTTTTATTCCAATATATCTTTTTAAAGCAATGGAAGAAAGTAGTAAAATTTCATATCACATTTGGCAAAGTATAAATGAAGACAGTAAAGCAAACATTAATTGGGATAGGTAAATAATTCGTGAGAAATTAATTTCTAAATATGAAGGTTTTTTGGACTTTTACAAAGAAACGATTATTTCTTCATAGTATTATAGAATTATGCAATTTTTTATATAGTTGTCTTTAAATAAATAAACTGATTAGACTTTATTTCATAGTTTGTTCATCACTTTATTATTTAAAAAGTTATATTGGAATAAAATTATTAAAAAATATTCATTCATGAATAGCATTATCTCCGACTTTTAATTCGCTTGATTTGTAATAGATGTCGCACTAGTAAAAATTTATTTATGAATGGACTCGGGTTATTTTTAACGAACAGCTGTTGTATGTGGTTAATTTGGTATAACCTGATTCTGAATTGGTAGTCATGGTTTCTGTTAATTGATACGTAAATATTTAAAGAATGTCATGATCATTTTAGATATATTTTTGTATAAAAGTATATAAGTAACAGTGCAAGTCCATACTATTATATAATTTTAGAAAATATGAAATATAAACAATTTTTAGTTTATTTAAAACCATAATTTATAATTAATATACCTATATTAGTATCTACGGTTAGTGGATAAGAGGGAAAACATTTTTATTTTCTATTCTACTAGAAAAAGTAATTCGTGACAAAAAATATTTTGCTTTTTAATTGAATACGTTTGTCATGAAAAACTGTAATAAATATATATACAGGGTGATCAGAAATTTAACAAAATTAATAACGTTGAAGAATAAACTGCTTTTGTTTTTGATAATATAAAAAAAATGTTAATAAGAAAAGTTGTTCATAACGGAAAGTTACGTTATAATTACGATTTGTGAATAAAGCGGCTTACTTTGGTATAAACAGAAATGGAAAATATTATATTTTTAATAATTAATATTAAGTAATTCTTGATAAAAAAAATTTGCATATTAATATAAATAGAATTTTAATTGTGAATATACATAATAATGAGAAAATATAAAAAATATGTACGATATACTTATTTTGTCCAAAAAATGTGTAAAGAATTATGTACAAAAGGACGATTTGAGTCTAAATTTTTTTTATGAGAAATAGGTAATTCAGTTCACTTCAATTGAAAAAATAGTTGTCTTATAGGTACTTTAATACCTCCAATATAAACAGAAATTCTGTGGAACAGTGTAGTTTAATAAATATGTAAATAAATGAAAGTAATAAAGAAATAAATAGAATAGGTACAGTAGAACAGGAAAAAATTTAAAAATTCATAAAATAAAATTATTTCTTTTTATTAATTTGAGTTTCTATAATATATTCTGGATCCATACATCTTTTTCCCTGTGGAATATTTTTGTATATTATTTCTGGTAGTATACAATTTTTATAAAATTGTTCCAAATTTGTTGCCATTGATTTTTTCCATAATTCTTCATATTTCTTAATTTGTTCTACATAGAGTGGGTTGTTTTCACCACTATAGGTATATTACGAAATAACATATAGACTTCTTCCGGTTCCGTATCTGAAAGTAAGAAAAGAATTTTACCAGATAATATTTGTTATAAACATAGATAATTATACATTTTTACCTATTATGCTTTTGATTTACCATAATGATATATCTAGTCATATATAGGGTGCCACAATAGTGCGATAAAGTTTAGTATAACTGCCTGTAGTAGTGATACGAAAAAAGTTACTTGCTCGGATTCACATTTTATTATTAT